CAAAATTAAACACACAACAAATAAGCAGTGGCGGCGCCATTGCAATTACAAATTGTGCGATTTATCATTTTCCTCGAGTCGCTCGCTATTCTTTCTCTCAAGAGTCACACAAGCGCCGCGAAAAAAAAAGTATAAATTATAAAATAAAAGAAAGCGCGCGCTCCACAATCAGCAGATGTGGTAGATGTATATGCAGATACCATTTATGATAAACAAAGAAACTGCTCCTCTTCTTGACAACTTAAGTGACATCGTGACATGGCGCAGTAAAAAATAAAATATGAACGAATCTTGAAGAAAGCATCGCATTAGCTGAAATTAGTCAAGGCAGTCGCGCATGCGCGTAGCACATACACACACTTACACACACCTCAAACTCAATTCAAGTCAACTCTTGTGTGCCGAGTCAAGGCGGAAGTTTGCGACCCGGAGTTGACCCACTTTTGCTGCTTCTATGAACCAACCAACCAACCAGCAAACACCACACTACAGGTCGACCAAAAGAGACACATAAAGATGAGTCAGTATATTCAGTGAGGAAAATAAAATTTAATTAAACGTACAGTTATCGGACTTACACTCCACTTGGAAAGATTGATCATAAGCTGGCTTCCGCGTGTGCGTTTAAATGTCGCGAGCGCGCGAATTAATGCAAATCGCAGTGTTGTGTAACAAATTATATTTTACTTTTACTGCACGCTCACTTAATTTCACAGCCAGACATTTTTCCGTGCCAACTTCCAGGTGTAAAGTAACTGAGTAACAATAACACTTATAGGCAAATATAATGATCGAGAAAGTGACATCCTACATTTTACACAATATTAAACATTCATTTACTATTATTTTGCACGTGCAGAGATTGTGCAATTGGGAAATTATCTAATAATCTTCAAAATTGATCATCAACACATCTAGGAAGTAAATTTTAATCAAAATCTTAATGATTTAATGAAAATGTTTGTTTGTTCCTTCATAACTCTAAAACCATTCAAACAATTTTGATCAAATTTGGTTTGTAGATAGTTTGGACTAAGGAGAAAAACATAGACTACTTTTTGTTGTTAAAATATAACATACAGAGTGTTCAAAATAGTTTTTAAAAACAAAAATCAAAAAAAAAAACTCAAAGCGAAGTAAAAGCGAGTAAAAAATGATATTGCACGGAAATGGGTCCGAAATACGCTCGTCGTCCACTCGTGCGCAAATCCCTGCTACACTGGAAACGACAATGAAGCGTGCCTATTGTGATTACGGCTTGAATAATGCCCGCCTGATAGGTAAATAGAGCTCGTACACACACGTCGGACATTGTTGCCGCGTTCCATGTACTTATTAAAGTTGTAGTAAACAACAATCGCGTTCGACGCATTGTTCGCGGCGCCGAGAAATATGCATCCGCAAAAGGAATTAAATCGACCTTGACGTGACGTGACTGACTTGTAATAAAATTGCAACTTTGCAGCTGCAAACGCAGCAAAACTCGATTTTGCGCACCAAATTTCAACACAAATCCACCATCATCAAAGTCAAGGTTAATTTTGGGCTAAGAAAGTAAAAAACCAGTCAAGCACCACGTTAAAGCTAATTAAATATAAATAAATGAACATTAACGTTTGCATTTACATACATACGAGATATATGAAGTAATAAGATCGTAAAAACACTTTACACAACAATGCGCAGTGCACACAAGGCCACTCAACAATAAAACCGAGGAAAAATTAAAATTTTAGCCAAATTAAGTTAAATATGTATCCAATTAACCTTCCAAAAACAATTTTAATTCTTACTGAAGCAAATCAATCCTTGAAAATTGAATAAACGCTATTCATGGAGTATTTTACCCCACCACTTGCTTGGTGGATAAGTCGTTTGCGCTCATTACAACTACGTGGAACCTGCCGAGCACTTATTTTGCTTTTTTTAGGGCAAATTGCAGTTGAAGTTGCTTTTCTAGTTCTACGGTTGTTCTAGAATACAGTTTTCTCGGGAAAGAAGCAAGAAGCAACCGCGACATGTCAAGACAACTTAAGTCAACTCAACTCAACTCAACTTGGCGCTGCAAATCCAAAGCAAACTAAAATAAAATCAGAAATAATTCCAGTCTAACTGCATTTAAAACAGCACCACTGTTGTACGGCTTTAAAAGCTTTCAAGTGCTTTTAATTTTAATTTCGCTTGCCGATAGAAAAGCCGACTGCATTGAAAGCCTTTCAATTGCTTGTGCATTCGCATTGCAATATTGATAAATAATATTTCAATCGGTGGACGCAGCCGCTCTTTAAAACAGTTTATACCGGCATTACATGTTTAACGAACCACAGCGATTGAGACTCAACTCTCCATCCATTTCAAGATAAGACGTTTTAATTAGCTTGATTTATGAAAACTCGAGTAAAATCCGAAATACATTATTCGCGTAATTTCTACACCCGGATGTCAATACAATTTCAAATTTAAAATTACACGTTTTGATATCTTGAGTGAATTGCACAAGTTTGTACCGCACGCAAACAAATCCATCGAAACGTTTAAACACGCAATATTTTATTATTTAAATAAAAAAAAAATCTATGTAATTATTCAACAGCATGTCATCTGCTCATGAATCGAATAGAAATTAAATTTATTAACGCATAAACATTGAATGCAGCGCCTAATGACGTGCATTATGAAAGTGTTTCCGTTGACGAATGATATACGACTTTATATTGTTTTATTCAAGCATTAAAATTCTTGCCGCAGCTAACGGTCATGGAAATCGCGTAAAAATGCGATGCAAAGTGGAATCGAAAGCAAATCAAATAAAAGCATGCGGTAACATTTCGCAATGTGCAGTGTGTACTGCATTTAAATGAATAAATCCCGTCTGAATGCGCAATTGAATTTCAACTGTCTTGTCTTGTCAGAAACCGACTTAAAAATAAAATAAAAATAAATAGAATCTAAGAGAATGTCTCAATTAAACACAAACTGTGATTGGGAAATAATTTGGTCGAAATTATGAATGTGTAACCCACTTTTGCTCACGTAAAATAAAAGCGAATAAAATCCGGCGTGCGCCTAATTAACGATTACTTCATTTTCGATTACAATAACTAATTAAATGCGAGGTTGTGTTTACCGAGCGTTAACTTTACCGATTACAAAATATATTACAATTACGTCCAATACCATCTGAGGTTAAATTAATCTCTATCTATATATATATATAAATGAATTGCTGTTCGTTAGTCTCGCTAAAACTCGAGAACTGCTGAACGGATTTATCTTATCTTGGTATTGAATTATTCGTGGAGGTGTAGGGAAGGTTTAAAAGGCGAGAAAAATTCGAAAAATTGCCGGGAAAATCCTCAAAACAGCTCTTTTCTATAGAATAAAATTTGACATTGAGATTCAATCATAGTTATAGTTAAATAGTTGAATTCGAGATGGCGCGCTGAAGTGCATTATTGACAAAACTTTATATAAATAACTTCTTTAAATTAAAATTGCTAATCTTATTGATAGAATTGACTCTTACTGCGAGTATGTCTAGAACAAGAGAGTAAAAACGAATTACATTTTTATTAAACACTGCTGGAACGAAGTCGCGGGCAACAGCTAGTGGTGTTACAAGAGTGTCAAAACTAAGATGTCTAAAACAATGCTTTATATTTAGAAGGACGTCGCAAAGAACTAGTCTTCTTGTGTCGTTGGTGTTCCTAATTTTATTGTTTCAAGTGTTCAATTTACATATTTTATTTGATTGCGCAACGTTCGCCGCAAATTGGCAAGCTAAGGTTGTCAATGAATTACGCCAATAAACAAAAGAAATAAAAGTGCTCGTATTTAGATTTTTTTCGGTTTAAAACAAAAATAAATAGTTTGTTGTGTTAATGGATTGTTTCAATTATGTCAATTGATTAACCTTGTTGCTTGTATTTTTAATTTTTTATTATATAAACCCTCATAACATTTATTTTTATGTTGATTTTTAATAATTGGTTTGGAAATATTTGCAAGTTATTATTTCATCTACAATATGATGAAATAAACGGAATGAAACGGAAGTTCAGCACATTAATCAACGTTTAACTGCGTGTTTAGTTTTCACGGTTTAGATTATGTGCAAATGCGGTAATTGACTGCAATTTTCTTATTATTGCTTGTTGCACCTAGAAAAGAAAAAAATGCAAGTAGCTGCGTTTATTCTTACGCATTGAGTTTTAACAGTTTTAATAAAATTTAAAAATTTAAAATCCAAAATAAAAATTCAAATAAAAAGCAAAAAAACTATAAAATAAATATTTTTCATAGGATAGTTATCATTATAATGACATATAGTAACAATATAACAATGTTGTCGCCGTCATGCGTTGCGGTTTTCTGCGACAAGATTCTTTCCAATTAAGAATATTAATTAGCAGCAAAGCAGTGATAATAATATTTACTTCTACGCACAGATATTCACAGAGTGTTCCAAACAATACAAAAGCAAACATTAAATGAATCACTATTATGAAATAAATATTAATTAAAAACGTAAACATTCAGTATGTGTGTTTGTCGTTACGTCGCATAGAAAGAACAACAACAATGTCACAATTACGCACGAGATGCCACATCTCGAGAACTGCTGAACGGATTTATCTTATCTTGGTATTGAATTATTCGTGGAGGTGTAGGGAAGGTTTAAAAGGCGAGAAAAATTCGAAAAATTGCCGGGAAAATCCTCAAAACAGCTCTTTTCTATAGAATAAAATTTGACATTGAGATTCAATCATAGTTATAGTTAAATAGTTGAATTCGAGATGGCGCGCTGAAGTGCATTATTGACAAAACTTTATATAAATAACTTCTTTAAATTAAAATTGCTAATCTTATTGATAGAATTGACTCTTACTGCGAGTATGTCTAGAACAAGAGAGTAAAAACGAATTACATTTTTATTAAACACTGCTGGAACGAAGTCGCGGGCAACAGCTAGTTTTGTATTAAAATTAAAAGTGACTTACCTTTTTGAATTTCGTCCCATGTCGATTTCGTCGGTGATATTAATCCCTGTTGTCGTATCCTGCAACATAAAAACACAAAAATACATAAGTTGAATTCATACCAAGCGATCAATGATAAGACTAGGACACGTTGGCTGGTTGGATACAAACATTATCATTCATTCTTTATTCCTTATTCCTTATTCCACTTTCGAGCCCTTTTATTCCCTGCGTCATGCATACCAAAGCAGACTTCTTTCTTGGACGTTGATAGTGTTTACAAACTAGGTCTACTACAACCCCATGTGGGGTTGATGCACTCATCAACCACGAACCACCAAAGGAACACCAAAGAAAAAATCAATACCGCCTATTTCGCACTGCGTTCAACTCAACTTTAGAAACTTGAATGTAATTCCAAAGTGTATGTAAAGACAGAGTATGACTCAACTTTAAACACAGTGTACTTAAACAAAGTACCAAGTCTTTAAGATGAATATTCCATGTGAGCGTGTGTGGGTAATTAGGTTGATGAGGTTAACGACATTCTATGCGAGAGCGACGCGACGCACAATCCACGCTACAACTTTATAACTAATAAAAATAATTGAGATGTAAATGTGGCGAGGATTAAATTGTTTTTCAATTTGTAATGTACCTACAATTGTCACTTTATTAGGAAATTTATTAAGAAATACTAACACTCTAATCACGTTGTTTGTTTTTTATGTGCTTTTTTGTACAATTGCGACACTTTAAAAGCAATTTCCTGCTTGCGCATTGTTTCCGCGATATAGGTATAAGTAGATATATTTTACCGGCTGCTGCTTTCGCTCATTTTGTCATTTTACTCTTGTTGCCGCCTGATAAAACAAGACCGTAGTTAAATTTCTCCATTTCACTTATTTCAATCTCGTTTTCTTCTATTTCTGAATCATACAAGTGGTTTATTACATTACCTAGTGCTTAAAAAGGGTAATAATGTAATAAATAAATAAAACACAAGTCGGACTACGGTTGTGCTTACCCCCACCCCTCCGCCTCTCTTTAGTTGTGATTTTTTGAATTTTTTTGCTACAAGTACTTTCACCTCGTAGCATTGAGCAGGACACGACGCACGATCGCCATTTACGGTGGGACGTCACTGATGCACAACCAAAGTAAACCGCGCACGCGCAAAATATCAAAGTCAACTCGACGCTTAAGTCAATATTTCAGTAAGTCACTTGCTCAATCAAGCGACTTCTGACATGGAATTAAAAATCAATCTGGAATTAGAAATCAATTGATTTAAAAACTAAATTTCTCTTTTTCTTTTTGCTTTTGCTACATCAATCAATAGACCTCAGAAGTTAACCTCAAAAATCAGACAGGTATGCAATGAAAGCGAAATTTGATTGTATGTAATGTATTAATGCGCAATTGCGATTGCAAGCCAATATAGAAATCAGCTTAATCCGGTGCGTATCAAGAATTCCGATCGCAATGACATTTTAAGTAACTAAAAGTCTCTTAACTCGCGAAGAAATTTTATCTAAACTAGTGCACAACACGATAATCGTAAATTTCCGTCGTTGACACAACAAGAATTATGAGAAAATAACGCGGAAACTTTTTACGCACATTGTTTTCTCGTTTCGCGACGTTTCCGCAAAGTGACATAATTTATTATCAGATAATATTAAGAAAATTATAAATATGCATCGTTTGGAATTTAAATTTAAAAGACCCCAAGGCATAAATTATCGCCGCTGTTGATATGAGTCAGTCAGCGTTATCAATTCTCGAAAGTGCACACACAATTGGTTGAAGCAACGGTAACCGTATAGGTGTACACAATAAAAACAAGATAAGACTACCCGTAGCAGCAAACGGCGATATAAACACCAAACGCTCAACTTTCAGTTTCGATCAAATTCATTACAATCAGCATTGTGCACTTTTTAATGACCCACTTTCTACTAGCGTCCATTCGCGTCTACTCGCAATTGCAGTGCACTAATAGGTCATCAAGGCATCATCAACGACAAATATTTAAAATTATTCCCCATTAGTGACTAATGTTGTAAAACAATTAAATGCACAAGCTAACATTGTGTGTATTGTGTGTAGAGAACGTTGGAAATGTCAACAAACAAGTTTATTGACTGGCAATAAATACAAAACCAACCAAAACATCATTGAATTGTCTCTAAATATAATCTTATCAATATCGAGTCATCACAAGTGGTGTGATGCTACAAATTATTACGTAAAATATGACTAAAAAAATTCCTAGTTGCAACAACTGAAATTCTCACTAATTAGGGATTCAAAAAAAAGGAGCAGATGTTCCTTTTATAAATACTACCTACCCACACAAAAGCTAATAAATATTTTGTGTCCATTTAAAGTAAAAATCGAAAAAATGTACTTATTTAGTAATTTCGCACATTCCCCGACCTGCAGCCAGCAATCAAACAGTAATTCGCGCAGCGCTGCAGCCGATTGTTGCTAAATAAGGCGAAAAATACGCGCAGGCAACGCAATCTCAAAGAGGTCACGAGCGCGTCCGCAAATCGCGCGAGATAAACCCGTGTCGATTACAAGAACGCACCATAATCTGCTTAAAATGAAAAATTTCAACGCTACCAACACATAGTATGCTCTATTTAATCGCCGGTAAATACCTACTACACCCAACTGTCTCGTCTTGTCTGGTCTCTTATGATGATGAAGATGAAAATGAAGAAAACCGGTTGCTGCCGATGGCAACTGCCTCCTGCACAGAAGTACACACACACACAAGAAGCGAGCAAACGTAACAAACACTACATTATCCAATTTGATCTCAAACTAAACCAGGTCTCAAAAGGGCAGGCAGGCGCAATCGAATTGTTTCGTCATTTGCCAACATTGTGATCTAAATATCCAACATTCACACGATTGCAATTCGTGTGCAATGCGCGCGATGTGACTTCCTCGTCCTCATACCGATCACATCACAATTTAGTGACTCACGATGTGAACTTACGAGTAAATTTTAATGATGGGAGATTTCGGTAACCGTACAAAATGATTCATAAAATCTCATTAAAGACGCAAAGCGTGCAAAACGATTAAAACCCGCACAAAGAGCATCATCACACTTTTGTTTTTGTTTTTAACTTGTAATTTCTTTTCTTTTGTTTCATGCGCAGATAAAACCGTTGTGCTTCGTATTTTGCCTTCAATAGTGTCATTGTCTTGTGACCAGCGCGTTTAAATATAGATCTCGACGATTTCTGTCTTAAACGAGCCTCGAAAGTGGCGAAAATCGCGCGAAATGTGCGCAACGCACCGAAAATAGACAACTTAACTAAATTCCAGTGAAAATAAAGCTGGAATATATTAAAGAATGTGTGATTGTGCAAACACTCAGTGTAATACGCGGTATAATGATGAATGCAAGCCGAGCTAAGGTAACAAGAAACAGATGAAGAGCAACAGCAACTTGCCAGGCAAGTTTGTAACGCTAAATTAATTCCCCTCGCAAGTCGCAAATTGCTCACAAACCGCGCATCGCTGCAGTCAAGAATGAAGAACACAAAAAAACACACACAAATTGTAACCTTCAAGAAGTTTTCTTTTTGTTGATTTTGTTACCATGGTAACCAATATTATGTATTTTTATTTATTTTCCTATCACTTACTTGAGAATGATGATTATTATTGACGAAACAAAAGTGTCGAATTTTCGCCCTTGGCGGCGGCGCTTTTTTGCCCACGGGGCCGTTGCCCGCTTGCTGCTGGCAGACGATGCTCTCCCACGGTGAGGGCGGGTTGGGCGCCCGTGGCGGCGGCAGAATATACAGCATGCTCAATGATTATTCAAACGATTACAACCCTCGTGTTCTCATCGCGTATGCACTTTCACAACACACAAACAAAACAACCAAATGGGCTAACACAGGTCAAGAATCAACTATGTGTTACTACTACGAATGTTAGTGGCACGTACTGCAGGGTTAAAAATTATAATGAGCACGTTGCGCGACAATTCTACGAGTCGATGCGGCCCACGCGCCTGCCGAAACTGTACTGAGAGCGAAGTTCGACGAGTGCAGACGCTGCGTCTGGCGTGAACTCTCACCGCGCGAATAGTGACGATTCATGCCGGAAATGCACGAAGACAACTTTGCGAGCGATTCCGTTGTTTCTGTCTGTATGGAAGCCGCAGCGCCGGAATAAAAAGCAAACCGCAATGTTCACGTCGATGAACAACGCACGTGTGCATCGCAATAATACATACAAACTTTTAACGTTATCAGTAGAAGATAAGTTTAGGATTATTTAGAGTGTGGACAACAAAATGACAGATGGATGCGTAAAGTGTGAAAGTAGCTTTACATGTGCAATTATCTAACCTCAAATAAACCAAGCGCAACGAGCGAAAACAATACCATATATGGTCTTATTGTTAATCATGGATGCACTTCAACATGATTTTTAAATTTTAATTTTTTTAATTTTAAAAAATGGATGAAATTTAGGTTTTCTTACCGTTTGCGGCGATGTGGTGCTGCTGGGGCTGCGCTGCACGGTGACCAGGGCCATCCCTGCGGCGCGGGCCCCCTCAGGCGTCGACGACGTCGGGCTCGCCACGCTCCCGGCGCGCTTGCATGTGTCCTGTCCCCCAATCGACCCGCGACGACAGACAACTTTGCCGTTATTCGCACTAAAGCACAGTTAATTTCACTGTCAAGTCTCTTACTTGCACCAAGGTTCTCTCTGGCTGGCGCGCTGGTGGCAAGGCTCGACGCGAATTCACAACATTCTCGGAAGCTGCGCGGGCCCCATCGATCTCGTCTCACGCCGGGGTGGATTTCGCGTGGATGCCAGCGCGGACGCGGCGAACGCTCATCGCAACGAAACACAACAAACAATGCCCCGCGATGTGTCAGAGTACAGAGTGTCTGTCAGTGGTCGACCAGAGCGTTCGACGCCGACGAGGCCGATGAATTTCTAGCGAGCGCACGGACTCGTAGCGAAATCTATGAATTTCTTTGTTGAACAGCGCAGAATAAAAAATGGACAGCTGATTGCAGCGCCATTGACACTCCGTGGTGATATTTGGAACTAAAACAGATAAAGCTAAACCTACACTATAAATAATTTAAAACATGAAATAACAATAAATAATAAAAATACAATAAAATATCATATTCCCTAGCGTCATTATAACAAAATCTAATGATTTAATAACATTTTATGTAATAATTTAACCAATTCAAAAGTTAATGTTAGGTTAATTTACATACATGTGTGAACTAACAGCTGTTTGACATGAAATGCGCAAAAACCTCACAAAACATTGTGAAACTTTTTGAAAAACATTATAAAATCAATTAAAAACCATGTCGAAGATATTTACACCTACGAATCAAATAAAACTGACAAATGTCGCCGTTGTACGCATCAAAAAATGCGGACGACGCTTTGAAATTGCCTGTTACAAGAACAAAGTTGTCTCGTGGCGCAATCAGGTGTAAGTACAAATTTATCAAAAAATGAACAAAAAACTAATTAAAACATTAGCGAGAAGGATATAGATGAAGTCCTACAAACCCACACGGTCTTCCTCAACGTCTCCAAGGGCCAGGTCGCGAAAAAAGAAGACCTACTCAAAGCATTTGGCAAAGACGACCAAACTGAAATCTGCAAAGAGATTTTAACGAAAGGTGAACTCCAAGTGTCTGATAAAGAACGCTCATCACAGCTAGACGCGTTATTTAAAGACATAGCAACGACTGTTGCGGATAAATGCGTAAATCCCGAGATAAAACGTCCTTATCCAGTCACAACCATTGAGAAAGCAATGAAAGATATTCACTACTCAGTGAAACCTAATCAAAGTGCAAAACAACAAGCACTGGTTGTGATAAAGATGTTAAAAGAGAGTATACCGATAGAACGGGCACAAATGCGGCTACAGGTTGTCTTCACAGGCAAAGATACGAAAAAATGGAAAGAAAAACTGACAAAAATCCAAAGCATTGAAGTAGAGAAAGAAGAAAGGAATGAAGATCAATTAAGTATTGTATTTCTAGTTGATCCTGGTTTTTATAAAGCTGTAGATGATTTGCGCATGGAAACAAAAGGCGCGGCGATGTTAGAAATCATGTCTTACAAAGAGATGGTTCTAGGTGAAGAATTTTTGTAGTTAAACAATAAATTAATCCCGATATTGCACGTTTATCTAATATTGGCAGTACATTTTTATTTGAGCTAAACAAATAACACTTTACTCTCAAATATTCAGCTGCCATGAGATACAACCCTATAAATCTCTAGTGAAACATGATAAAATCTCCTCTTAGACGAATAAATGCCATCGATAATAATTCATTACGTTAAATATAGTCCGGATTGATTATTGCGCTTGGAATTGTTCGTTACCTTTCGGTGTGTATATACTCTCAGCGCGATTGTCCAACTTGGACGCAATGCGTGATAATGTGAGCAGGAAATCCGCTAGTCGATTGAGGTATACTTGGACTTCTTTATCAAGCATGTTATCGCGTACTAGAGGCACAACTGTGCGTTCAGTACGTCTGCAAAGTGATCGGGCAACGTGTAGAGACGCGCTTGCTATCCCACCGCCCTTGAAACACAATAATTCGTTTAATTTTCATTAAAATATTAAAAAAACGTTAAAAACTTTGTAAAATGTAAAACTTACTGGAATAATGTATAATTCAACTGGAGGTAGTTGTTTGGAATATTCATTGATCCATTCCTCGAGTTCTTTTGTATGTAAAGCTGGAATTGTTGTTTTTTCTTTGTCGATTTTTCCATTGCATCTGGAAATCGCTGTGCTTACATCAATAAGCACTGTTTGAATCCTCATTAATTTGTGGATGTAATCATGTTCGGCGTCTATTGCATGTTCTCTTGTTAAACTTAAAAAATATTATGTAAATACATGAAAAATTGAATAATATCTATAAATTTACCCAATATAACTCAATAATTCTTCTGTTGCGCCAATGGCTTTGAAAACTCTGTGATCTTTTGGTAATATATCCCCAGATAAACATGTTGTTGTGCCATTATCACCCTGATGACTGAAAGACGCTGGTGGAGGCGGTGGAATTGTTGGTTTTGCGTGTACATCGATATTATTATCGGTTTTAGTCACATTTGCTGTGGCATTTTTAACTTGTTCGGGACTTGCTCTACAATCAAAATATTTTAATAAAAGCTTAGTAATTTACACAAATAATGATACGTACATGTTAGCTGAGAAGTGCTTCACTAGCTGCCTGTTTGGTGCAATCAAAAGACGTCGAATAAACATGTTTAATTAATAAATGAGAAAATTAAATGATTATTTTGTATCTATCCCAGGTTAGAATCAATTAATAACTGTCAAGTTATTCACAGCGCCATCTCGGAATTCATCCACACACCGCACACACATCCACCATCTTTATTTGGAAATTTTTCGGCGTCATAAATTCTGGTCATTGTCAGACGACACCTGATTAATTCTGTGTAGAGAAAAACAATATAAACCTGTGCCTAAAATCTAAACAACGTTGTATTGAGTAATTATTGAATAACGAGATTAATTCGCGTGCATCAATGCATCGGACGTAAACAATCGCGCATCGACTGTGATTCACAAACAACAACATAACCTGCATGCTTGTTGGTATGTTGTTATGATTACAGCCAACAAGTGCATGAAACCGTCCAACGCGGCCAACTTCCGCAGAAAAACCAGTGACTAATATTTACTACTAGTGCTTATGTCGAAATGAAGCGCAGTTGCAAGCAGGAGAAATAATTTCAGGAATTGTAGTTGCAAAGTTTCATTTTCATCATGGTGGTGATTGCTGAGTATCAATATAATTACTGGATGCACAAAACACATGACCAAAATGTTACACTTACTTGCCTCATGCCCAATGGGCTGGTTATACCTCTGCAAGTGTCTGGACAGGCTACGTTTAGTGAAATCAAAGAGGTAATTATGATATAATCAAAAATATGAATGTTTTTCTTAAAAAAATCAATAAAAATGTTTAGGATCTTTGGTATGAAGCACAAAAACTTCCTCTTTATGGCATGTTGTATGATCTTTCAAAGTACATCTTCTGCTATGTCAATTCCATGGCGGAATTGGAAGAAATCACACAGGAAAATAAACAATTGGATGAAGTACAACCATTTTATGCTGTTTTGAAGATTGTGGAATGTCACAGTGATAAACGCGAGCAGGAAACACTGAATAAAAAGATTAGTCAATTGATTGGAAAGAAATTGCCCACGTTCGACGCGTTGAACAACCCGGAAGTGAATCAATTCCGCTTTAATATGCGTAGTTTCGTTGATAAAATCTCGAAACAACGGCAGAAACTCGGCTGGAAGGAACAATTGATGTACCAGTGTCCTCCGAGGATGTATTCTGGTGAGGTTGATTTTATTCTTAAAGAAGCCGAAGAAATGAATCAAGTTTACCAGAAAGGGAAGATTATTTTGTCTGCTACCGCTGAGGAAACCACAGAGGTAAAGAAAACATTAAAAAAACATTTTTAAATTAAATTATATATTTTAGAGGAGTTTTAAAGTTAGTATAGAATCAAATGCGACTCCAGCCGCGTTAGTAAAGAAAATCCTCGATAAAACCGCCCTCTATAAAAACCTGCGACCCGATCAGACTGATGAATACGTCTTGAAAGTCTGCGGAAGGGATGAATACCTCATCGGGGATCATCCCTGGTGAATTTTCAATATATAGCTGAATGTATCTCTTGGGACAAAGTCCCGAGCTTGATTACAATATCACGCTTTAAATTACCACGTAAATACAACTTAAACGTAATAAAAATCAATAAAACTAATAAATTTCTAAATTTTAGAGCTAGGAGTTTATGATTATCGATATATAACGTTAACTAATCACAAGAAACAAAGTTCAACGCAAACTCTGCGTAAAAAAGGCAACATTCGCTCTGTCTGGCGCATAGAAAACAAATTTCAGATTGTTATACAGAATATAAACGATATTAACAGCTTCATGTGCGATACAAAACGCGGGCCGGTGGAAATCGGCGTATTAGTTGGTTTATTCCACGGTGGTAAGTCCGTCTGTGAGCCACAGAAGTGTAAAGAGCATGTGTTGACTGATGAAGAGATGCAGAAGCGTACAATGATGCTCAATGAAACTTTAACGTTTGATATCCAAGTGTGTAATATACCCAAAAGTGTAAAATTATGTTTTGCGTTGTATGAGGTGACGAAAAATGGTAAAAGCGGCAAAACAAAACGCATGAATAAAGATATACCGATGGCATGGGCGAATACAACGGTGTTTGACTTTAGGAATCAGTTAAAACCGGCGCTATGACTTTATTCATGTGGAATTATGCTGAGGATGTGATGTTCATGAATGAGGACCTTTTGCATCCATTGGGGACGGTTGTAAGCAATCCCAATGTGTCTAATTCAACGTCGTTGACACTCACGTTCAATCCGTAAGTTTTTCTTTTCATAAATTCATAAAAACACAAAATAATCGTAAATATTTGTTTAGACAACATACAGATGAAAACCACACGATAATCTACCCATCCTCAGAAGAAATAATGAATTATGTAGAAGGTAATGAATTAGATGATTGTCATGAGACAGAAAAAGGCAACGATCCGGTTCCGGAGCTCTTGAAAATCTTCAATGAATCCATCGGAGATATTCACGAGCAAGACAAGCAGAAACTATGGAAGAATCGTGATGTTTTGCGTGAACAAGCACCCAGTGTGCTGCCTAAACTATTACAATGCATAGATTGGGATAATCGTAATGTTGTGTGTGAAGCTATGACAATGCTTCGACTCTGGGAGTTGTTACCGGTTGAAAGAGCGCTCGAACTGCTTGATTATGCGTATGCGGAGGAATTTGTCAGGGCTTATGCTGTGCGATGTTTGAATAAGATCACCGATGATGATCTCTTGTTATATTTACTACAATTAGTTCAGGGGCTTAAACACGAGTTATATCTTGAGTGTGATTTGGTTAAATATCTTCTGGAGCGTGCGTTGTGTAATCAGAAGATTGGACATTATTTATTTTGGCATTTAAAGTAAGTTTTCGGGGGTAATTTTGAGTTTTTTGAGTGGAAAAATGAAAATATTGTGTTGTGTTACTTATTATACAGCTGAAAGTTGTGGTTATGTTGTTATTTTTGACATTTGACACTTTTTTGACATATTTTGAGGTTAGTTACATATCCTGCTCAATTATACTTGTTAATAAGTAATATAACACGATATTTTGATTAATACTTCAAATATTTACATAAAAACATTGAAAAATGTTGTTATTTTAGGTCTGAAATGCAAGTGCCTTCAGTTTGTGTTCGTTTCGGCCTTGTTCTCGAAGCCTACTGCCGTGGCAGCCAGGATCACATGGAGATTCTCTATAAACAAACGCATTACCTCGAGAAACTGAAAAAATGCAGCGAAAAAGTCCGAAATCATCGCGATAAAGACAAGGCTCGTTCGGAGTTTATCGATCACCTTAAAGAACTGAAGATTGACGATGTTATGCGTGACTTGACCAATCCGCTCGACCCGAGTTTCCGCGTAAAACGCCTGAAATTAGATAAAATTAAGATTATGGATAGTAAAATGCGGCCGGTGTGGCTGGTGCTTGAGAATGCTGATCCATCCGGTGAGGATATTTATATGATCTTTAAAAACGGCGATGATTTGCGCCAGGATATGCTCACGCTGCAAATGCTGCAGATTATGGACAAGTTGTGGAAGCAGGAGGGTTTAGATTTGAGGTTAAATTTGTACAAATGTATATCGATGGAGTATCGTGTTGGGTTGATTGAGGTTGTGCTCAATGCGGACACCATTGCGAATATACAGAAAGAGAAAGGTTTGTTTTCAGCAACGTCTGCGTTTAGGAAAGGCTCGATTTTAGATTGGTTGAGAGAACATAATCCTTCGGAAGTGCAAATGAAAAAGAGTAGTGTGGAGTTTCTCAAGTCCTGTGCGGGATATTGCGTTGCCACCTATGTTTTGGGCGTTGGTGACCGCCATTCGGATAATATTATGGTAAAACGTAACGGGCAATTGTTTCATATTGATTTCGGGCATATCCTTGGACATTTCAAGGAGAAATTCGGGTTTAAACGCGAGAGAGTCCCGTTTGTACTCACGCATGACTTTGTACATGTTATTAATAAAGGGGAGAAGAAGGCAATGGAGTTTAAAACGTTTTATTTGTACTGTGAAAAGGTAAAACACAAATATTTCTTAAAATGTTTGATTAAATATTATTTTAAATTGTTTTAGGCGTTTATGGTACTAAGAAAACACGGTGAATTCATCCTGTCGTTATTCGCCATGATGATTTCCACAGGACTACCCGAATTATCCTCCGAAAAAGATTTAAACTACCTGAGAGAGACTCTAGTGTTATCCCTATCGGAAGACGCTGCAAAAAGTCATTTTCAGTCAAAGTTTAATGAAGCCTTGAGTAATTCATGGAAGACTTCGATGAATTGGGCGACGCACAACATATCGAAGAACAACAAGGTTAACTAACCAACTTCTAACCTCAAAACGTGTATATTTTGTATGATTGTCTCGTGCAATATGGAAACTGAGATTACAGAACGCTGTAAAATGTAAACTGTAAATGTAAACTATTCATAAGTACAAATTGAGATTCAGATTGAAAACAAATACGATCTGCGTCTGGTTTTATTTAAGATATCGATTGAATTTGAAGTAATTGATATGTGTACGTCGACTGGCTTCTTGGTTGCGACTTGATTCGAGATTGTATGTCATTCGATTCGTGAACGGCGTACGCGATGCATGTCCCGACCTAAAATTCTATATTTATTGTGTAAACATTGTGTAAACTCGATAAGATACAAGCGTTGTGTGTGTTACAGTGTGAAACATCACTGAATTTTGTTTTGTTTTTCGGTGCGTGTGTTGCGTTAGAATGGAACAGACGCCATTACTGTCAGTAAGTTGTGTTTTTCTACGCATTTTTGCGCTTGATTTGTTTCTGTTATTATCGGGGCGTGACCTTATGTTATCAGCAGACATTGAAATCGTCGGTGCTGCACTCGATCAGCTACGGTATCAATTCCGAGCGCGCTGGGAGAATAATCCCGCCTGAAGAGCGCATTACATACACATGGAGCGATCTGAATGTGTTTACCGAAGATAATTTCAAGTCTAAGACGAGAAATCCGTTCAAACGCCCACAGATTGTTCATAAACATATTTTAAAACATGGTTGGTAGTTTAATATTGAGGTTATGTTTGTATTTTATGACATATGACATGTTTTGACATATTTTGGGGTTAGTTACGGGTGTTGCACGTCCGGGTGAATTGTTAGCCATTTTGGGATCCAGCGGCGCAGGGAAAACTACTCTGTTGAATGCGTTGACGTTTAGAAATCAAAACAATACGGTTTTGACCGGTGTACGCAGCTCGAATGGAATACCACTCACACAATCAACATTAACAGCGCAAAGTTCTTATGTACAACAGGATGATTTATTCTATCCACATTTGACTGTCCGTGAACATTTAGTCTTCCATGTGAGTTGGGTTGCATACATCCAGAGTAAATTTAAGGTTAATTTACACATATTATAGGCTATGGTGCGCATGGATAGAAACATACCGGAATCTCAACGAATTAAACGTGTTAATGAAGTTTTAACAGAGGTAAAACACAAATCTAACCTAAAATAATCAATTAAAATAAGTTTTTGTTTAAAGTTGAGTTTAAAAAAATGTGAAAACAATCTGATAACTTCCCTGAGCGGCGGAGAAAAAAACGACTTGCGTTTGCAGCGGAAGTACTCACTGACCCTGCACTGATGTTCTGTGACGAGCCTACTTCCGGTTTGGATTCATTTATGGCTTTGAATGTTGTACAAGTTCTCAAAACTTTAGCGCAAAGTGGCCGTACTGTTATTTCAACTATCCATCAACCTTCTTCAGAGATTTACGCATTATTTGATAAGGTTATCTTCTTATCCGAAGGGAGGATTGCTTTCCAGGGCACACCCGATGAAGCAGACATCTTTTTTTCCAGTATAAAAGCGCCATGTCCGCATAATTACAACCCGGCTGATTATTACATTGAATTATTGGCGATTGTTCCCGGTGAGGAAGAATCCTGTCGACAGGCAGTTAATATGATTTGTTCAGCGTACAATAAAAGTGAATTCGGGGAGAAAATCAAAGTTACCACAGCAAATATCATGGTAAATGGCATACATAACCTAAAAACATGTTAAAGTAATGTTTTTATGTGTAAATTTAAGAGTAAAATGGAATTAAGTTATAATGACTTCTGGACTGTTGAACCAGCAGGATGTGTTTATAAAAATTCATGGTGGACGCAGTTTAGGGCCGTTTTTTGGCGAAGTTGGATCACTATCATGAAGGAACCATTGTTAATTAAAGTCAGACTACTTCAAACAATCGTAAAAAAACATTTTAAAAATTTTAAACACAAATATTGCTAATTTTTAATGTTTCAACAGATGATTTCAATATTAATCGGTGTAATTTACTTCGATCAGCAACTAAATCAAAATGGCGTCATGAATATCAATGGCTGCATGTTTATCTTCCTCACAACGATGACATTCCAGAATATCTACGCTGTTGTCAATGTAAACACAAATAACATTATTTATTATCATAATTATCGATTAATTTTTAGTTATTCTGCAGTGAATTCCCCATTTTTCTTCGTGAACACACCAATGGCATGTATCGCACTGATGTGTACTTCCTGTGCAAGACAATCGCTGAAATACCATTGTTTACTGTACTTCCGGTTGTCTACATAAGCGTGTGTTACTATATGATTGGTTTAAACCCGGATGTTACTAGATTTTTCACTGCGATGGCCATATTGGTTTTGGTAGCGCATGTAGTGCTTGGTTTTGGTTATTTAATATCATGTGCAACGACGAGTGTGTCAATGGCGATGAGTGTTGGTCCGCCATTGATCATTCCGTTCTTATTGTTTGGTGGATTCTTTTTAAACATCAGGTAAATATGATTTTTGAGGTTAAATTAAAGAAAATGTTTTTATTTTTGATGGTTTTTAGTTCAATCCCTATATATTTCAAGTGGTTATCGTATTTTTCATGGTTTCGTTATGCGTTTGAAGCTTTGATGATCAATCAATGGTCGGGAATCACAGAAATCACTTGTGGGGAGGATGCTTTGAGTTGTCCGAGTAGTGGCGCTGTTGTTCTCGAGATATACAACTTTTCACAGGTTAGGTTACAGATTTCTAACTTATCATACAAAAATTTAACCTAAAATAACCTAAAAATCTTTGTTTTTTGCAGAAAAATTTAATGGTTGATATTACTATGTTGGTTTTACTTGTGGTGTTGTTTCGTTCAATGGCGTATGTGTGTCTCGTGTTGCGCACGCTCAGATAACCGCCATTTTTTATTTGTACACTTTCTGTACTTCTACGAGTATTAATTTACCCGTTGCATCGTATGAAATTACACCTGCTTCCCTACAAGTGCAATAATCCACACCCAACATGATTTGAATACATAGACTCATGTGAAAGCTGAAGTAGAAGTTTAGTTTGTTGTTTACTTGCATACCAGCGACGTGTGTGCTAGATTGAAGAAAATAAACAAAGAAAATCGTATTATCGCCGTGTTTATTTAAGATAATTAAGTTTATATTTAGTGTTTTAGTAGTTTTGTAGTTGAATTTTAGTTGGAGTCAAAGCATACATCAAAATGGCGTCGAGTTCAGGCTCCACGACGAGTACCAGTGAAGAAATCGTGTTGCAATTGTTAAAAAACGTAAAAATACAAAAATCATTTAAAAATTAATTTTAATTTAATATTTATTTACTTTAGGAGAATGAAAGTGTTGAAATTCATGAAAGTCCGAAATTCAATCGTAGTTACGAACGTTGGTCCCCGACGGAAGAGGGCGCTACCTTGGTCTTTCGTGATTTAAACATCCACGTGCGTGATGGTAAACAATACAAAACAATTATCTCTGGTGTTACTGGCGCTGTGAAACCAGGATCGCTTGTTGCGTTGATGGGATCAAGTGGGGCGGGGAAATCTACATTAATGGCCGCTCTTGGGTATCAATCGCAAAACAAACGCGATGTGTCAATCGAAGGGGACATTTTATTAAATGGCCGACCGATTGGGCCCTATATGAAGACAATCAGTGCGTTTATGCATCAGGAGGATTTGTTTGTTGGGTCACAGACAGTTTGGGAGCATATGCAATTCAATGCGAGGCTTAAATTGGATAGAAGGATGTCAAAAGACGAGAGGGATGATAAATGTATGACACTTTTAAGGAGGTTAGGGTTAAGTCATGCCCTACATACTAAAATAGGAGGGTATGGTGAGGAGAAATCGTTGTCAGGGGGTGAGAAGAAGAGATTGGCGTTTGCAACTGAAGTAAGTTTAAATTTAACCTAAAAATTTACTTAAAATGAGTAAAAATGTGTTTTTTGAGGTTAGGTATTGATCTGTCAACTTATATTCCAACATAACCTAACTTAACCTTAATTATTTTGTTTAGTTATTGACAGATCCACAAATTTTGTTCTGTGATGAACCTACGACAGGTTTAGATAGTTATTCAGCCAGTAAACTAGTAACAATGATGAATGAAATGGCCGCAAAGGGTAAAACAGTTCTCTGTACAATTCATCAGCCTTCATCACAGATTTTCGCTATGTTTAGTCAAATAATTCTATTATCTGAAGGCAGAATTGCCTACATTGGTTCTACGGTGTATGCAACTGAGTTTTTATCAAGGTAACCTCAAAGTTTTTAACTTAAATATACATAACCTATTTTTATAACTATTTTTAAATCAAAGTATGGGTTATACTTGTCCGAAAAACTATAACCCCGCTGATTATCTCGTGAAAACTTTGGGTATAACACCGGGAGCGGAAGAAAACTGTAGGCAGACATCGCGCGCCATCTGTAATCGCTTCGCAGTGAGTGATTATGCAAAGGAAGTGGAGGTTCTTGTCCAGTACGAGTGCCATATTGGATCAACGTATTTTGAAGAGGTATATTTATCATTTATCATGCAATGTGCAAGATTTAATAAAGTGTGATCATAAATCACATCTAAAATATGATTTTTTAAATACGCAGGGGAGGATGTTTCAAGATGGCGACCAGAAAAGTGATAGTTATCAAAAAGAAAGATATAAAAGGATAAAATTAGAAGAAAAGTACATTCGGGGAGATTTGTAAGTCTGAAAGTGAGGTTAAATTACATAAAAATTAATTTTAAGCGTTTTTGATTCACAGCAAAGAAGTTTTTTGGTGGACGAAATTTTTTGGTTAACCAAACGTTATTTCAACGATATTTTACGTAATCCTGCCGTGCAACTACTAAGAATGGTTCAAAAAATGGTAAATTTGCATAATTTATACCCAAGATTAGATTTTGTATGTTGGGTTGCAGTCAATCGCACTAATGGTAGGTTTATGCTACATTGGCACGGTTCCCCTCACACAAAATGGCGTCCAAAGTCTCCAGGGAGCTTTGGTGACAATCGTCTGCGAGAATACATTCCCTGCGATGTATTCAGTCCTCGCGGAGTTTCCAAACAACATTCCTTTGTTTGTACGTGAGAATAAAGCCGGTTTGTATTCGCCCGCCATGTTTTATTCTGCGAAAACAATTGCTATGGTGCGTAACCTCAAAAATCTTTAATAAAAACACTAAATGAAGCATTTTTAGTTACCAGGAGTTATAATCGAGCCTATATTGTTTGTTTTGATTATTTACTGGCTTACTGGACTACGACATGCTGTGGATAGTTTTATTTTGACAGCTGTGTCGGCCATTTTGGTTATGAATGTTTCCTGTGCGTGCGGTGAGTTAAAATTGAATTTTGGTTATAATTTGAGTTAAAATATGAAAATTTATTACAGGAATCTTCTTTTCTAATATGTTTGACACTGTGAACAACGCCATGTTGTGTCTGGTTCCATTTGATTATATCCTGATGATTACTTCCGGTTTCTTTGTGAATTTAAGGTTAAAATTGTGATTTTTAGTTGATATTTTGATTAATTTTATGTTTTTTGATTAGTTCTTTAGGTAAACACATTGCTTGGACGAAATATTTATCCTGGTTGATGTACGGAATGGAATCCTTGACGATTGTGCAATGGCGCGGGGTGAATAACATAAGTATGTAACCAAATATACACAAATTGATATATTGGGGTAGGTTATGATAAAGTGTTTGTTTTTTTGTGTAGCTTGTGAGAATATCAATCCGGAAGTGCCATGCCTGCGTACAGGAAATGAAGTTCTGACCCAGTACAGTTTCTCTGAAGGTCATTTGGGTCGTAATCTGTGGACTATGCTTGTAATGTGCTTGTTATTCCACATGTGTGCGTTTTTTGCTTTGATCAAGAAAGTTAGAAACAAATAAAAAGCAATATAGCTGTTTTTGTAATGACAGATGTCAAAATATGTCAAAAAAGGTTAAAAAAAGCTTGTGTGTTTATTTGTGTATCAAATATGCAACCAAATATACACAAATTTATATATTGGGATAGGTTATGATAAAATATGTGTTTTTTATGTTATTTGTAAGAATACCAAGCAGGAAATGTAAAGGAAATGAAGTTTTGACCCAGTATACTTTGTCTGAAGGTCATTCAGGTCGTAATCTGTGGACTATGCTTGTAATGTGCTTGTTATTCCACTTGTTTGCGTTTTTTGCTTTGATCAAGAAAGTTAGAAACAAATAAAAAGCAATGTGAGTAGGCTTTCTAATGACAGATGTCAGAATATGTCAAAAAAGGTTAAAAAAAGCTTGTGTGTTTATTTGTGTATCAAATATGCAACCAAATATACACAAATTTATATATTGGGATAGGTTATGATAAAATATGAGTTTTTTCTGCTTTTTGTAAGAATACCAAAGCGGAAATGTGCAGGAAATGAAGTTTTGACCTAGTATACTTTCTTTGAAGGTCATTCAGGTCATAATCTTTTAATTACGTTAATAATTTGCTTATTATTCTACAATTTTGCAGTTTTTTATGTCAGAAAAAGTTAAAAACCGTCAAGAAAACAATTTATTTATTTATTCCTGAATGCACCTTGTGCGTTATTCACACGTTGATATTAGATAAATGCGTATCTAGGTTTGCCTGCTTGCCTGCTTGCCTGCCTGCTCGCTGGCAAATTGAAGTTGTGCGGCGCGCGGCGCTCGTCCCGGGCATTCCTGCTGCTCGCCTCGGCTCACCTCGTGCGACATCGCGCAGTCAGCTGCTGGCGGGTCGTGCAGCAGCAGCAGCACAGCCCGTGTTGTGTGTGCGTTGTGTGTGCACGCAGGACTGTCATGGAGGCAGTTTGACAGCCTGCGACGACGACCGCGAACACCGCGACGACGACGACGACGATGCCCACTGGCCCGCCGGCTGCCACCCTCGCGTACACACGCGCGTGAACACCACCAGCCATTACCGGAAACAGGAAGACCCGAACGATAAACAAGCAGCAGGCACTTTCAGCCGAGCATCTTATAAGGTAATAAACATACTATATAGAATACTATTGCTTATTGTAAATATAAACACACTGTACACACACACAGACACACAGAACAGTGAATTGTTTAGTTTAATTAATGTTTGTTGTTAATTTGATGGTTATGTTGTGCGTGTTGTGTTTGACGATCGATTTTCGTTATCGCTATCGATAGCGTAGCGTGTGCGGAGAGCTTTTACTCTTTTGTTTCGTTTGCCTGCAACCAAACACACACACATACACACACATATATTATATGTATGTATTAATATACAATGCGTCCGTGCGCTTTGTATTTATTTACGCGCGATGCATGAATCAGTGCGTGGCCTTATAATATTCATAATACCTATCGATTTTACCACACCGCCGGCCCAGGTTTATCTTTTATCTCGTGTTTGGCTTTTGTTTGGATTAAACACACCTCGGTTATCATTGGAATTGTCGCCTGGTAAAAATTTACTAAATATTTATTTAAAATCATAAAAATTTTATAAATTTTATGTAAAATAATATTTTTTATGAGGCGACAATACCAATGCACCTGCTGGATATTATTCTAGTAGGCTTGTTGTTAAAAGTTGTATCCGAGTGTGAGTTTGAGCAGTTTTCCGGTTTGTGCGCATGGTGCGTGTAATAAAATCGCCTCCCTTGAGAACCCAGCCGGCAGCCGGAGCGTATTGTTTACCAAAACGACCCTGAGAAAAGTTGAGCGCCGAGAAAAGGTAGAAAATGCACGGCACTGATAAGAATAGATAAATGTTTGCGATTCACACAGCGGAAAACTAAATTTTCATGTTTTTTGCGCGATATTTTAAAAGTTGTTGAGGCGGAAACGCGCTTTTAAAATTTCCAAGTGAATTGTGAAATTGCGCGGGAAAACGTGCGCCAAAGTCCGGGCATTTTGTATATAATCAATTTCCACGGAGTTTCTTATTCAATTACGCGTAATGCCGAATAATGTCAGTCGCATCCGGTTTATTAAACTTAATTTCGGCGACTTTTGGGGAACATACAGTGTATTTAGGTAAATTACACGATGATTCAGAAAATGTCGCGTGGAATTCTCTATTGTAATATGCAACAATTTTTGAACCCATGCCAATGCGGCTATTTTTGAAATCTATTCGAATTTTGAAGCACATTCGACAATTTTAATTTTTGTAATTTGTATGTGTGTGTGTGTAGGCAACTTGTGGGCAAGTAAGTGGTATTAAATATTTACGCGCACGGCGAGCGAGTTTCCGCTATTTTTAGTCGGGGCAACAAGTCCGCACATTCTTAATTAACTTAAAAATATCTTCATCTAGTGTAAACACGTGTTTCAACTCGATAAACACGCCAGGTTAAATATTTTTAACCCAAGAGTGGATTTTTCTTACCTGGATTGAGAGCTACTCATTTGGGTAGCTCATAAATTATAACCTGATATTAAAAGTGAGGTTAAAAATAAGTTTTAGGAGATTTTTAGGAATAAAAGTATGGTTAAAAGGTTAAAATCATTTTATTGTATGTTGGGTTGCATACAAAGTCCAAATTCTCTTTTTCTAATCAAAACTGAGAGCTACTCATTTGGGTAGCTCATAAATTATAATCTGATATTAAAAGTGAGGTTAAAATAGGTTTGACGGGATTTTTAGGAGTAAAAGTAAGGTTAAAAAAACATTGTTTGTATGTTGGGTTGCATACAAAGTCCAAATTCTATTTATCCTAACCAAAACTGAGAGCTTCTCATTTGGGTAGCTTTCAAATATTAACTTAAAAAGTCAAGCATATTGTATATTAGTATAATTCCATTAAAAATACAAATAAATGATGAATCCAATTATTGTGTACCGAGACTAACCTTGAACGTAAAACATAAATCGATAATTTCTTACCGTTTACTCGTAGTTGAAAGTGTTGATATTTTTCCCTCTGCTGCCGAAGCCTGGTTTATTTTCGTGACCTAATTAACGGCGGTTTGTGTGTTGTTGTGTGCGGTGTGCGAAAAATAAATTTAGATTATTGGCGCGATGCGCGATCGTTACCTGCGGCGCGAAAAGCGCCGTCGAAAGAAAAACAACGCAACGCGCGAGCCGTTGAAGTTAATTTAGTCGCGTGACACGTGACGCGACGACATCCGCGTGATCCTGAATGAAAGCAGCAAATCGAATGAGAAATTGGAAAACGAAAACGGCGCTTAAATATCTCGCATATTTTGGCAGCCAAACCAACTCAAACAACTCAATTTATTATGTTTGAGGTTAGGGTAGGTCAGCAGCACACACAGATGAAGATTTAACCTAAAAAATCAATATGGAGTGTCAGTGTCCTTGACAGCATATGTCATTCGCCTTTTAGAAAGGTACCATGTTGATTAATCGACGTTTTCCGTATTTTCTTTCACTTTTTTTTAGTTTCCCGAAAGTTATTTTGTGAGTTTGTGTGGGTGGGAAGGTCGTTTATCGATGGCGACGTCAATAGGGTGCGAGGGTGCGAGTTTATTTCGGGTCAAGAGGGTACAAACTAGATAAATTACCCTCGGCGCATTTCAACGCCATCTGGTGGTGGAAACTTGAACTATTGATGAATTAGGTTAAACTAATGGAAATTAATTTTTGATGAAAGGTGTTAATGTTAAAATGAGGGTTATTTAATCAACATAATGCGATAATGCATTAATGTGACACCATAAAAAACGCACTATTGATTAATTCATTAATGAATAACATACAGTGTGTTATTTTGAATATTTTGATGTTTTTGTGGAGATTAGATGTTTTTAGGTTATAATTTCGTATAAATTATGTTTTGACAGTAGTAATAAACACTTTTGAAAAAACAACACGCCGTACCTGTTACCACGCGCGCGCGTCTCGTAGCATTTGCTTATAAAATGCTTGAAGCGTTTTGATTTTGTGCCGCTTTTTGGGGAAAACTCACGATTGTAATTTATCTGCGTTTTATGTTTGGCGTTTGCCTCCTCCTCCTCCTCCTCCTCCGCTCCTCATCCCTCTGCGTTCGCGACCACGCAACATGGCAAGAAACGTGTTTATTGGAAGGTCCTCGTGCCAATCTAAATTGTGCGCTCGTCGTTTGCACGCGATCATGCATACATACAATGTGTTCATTGAGAAAAAACACATTGAGAAAATTTCAGAACCTTTACACTCTGTATTTTAATTATTTTCTTATCTTATCTTATAGAGAATTTTCCAAACTTTCATAATTTTCGATCGGTTGGTCGCTAGCGCTTTTAGTTTAAAAGATATGTCCTAAATTCTCAAAAAACACTCTACCGTTACTCCCTACGGTGCCCTGAACTCGAGTCACTTTTACCGCTAGCCTCGTACGGTGCCCTGAACACGAGCAAAATTTACATTAAATACACTCAAGGTGATTTTTAAACATTTTCTTGTGTGGACATAGTGTATGTGGTGTTATTGTATCGTGAATTATAGAGTTTTGGTCGGGAGGAAAACATAAACATATCATTTCGAAACACGGTGAAGGTGAAACACGTTAAATTCCCCGACCGGATTTCCGAAAATTTCCTAAATTTTGTCTTAAAAAATAAGTCTGAGTTTATTTTTCGTGTGTCGCCATCTGTGCGGCACTAGTATCACTGGCTTTATGTGTGATTTATTGTAAGTAGTGTGTAGTTCATGTCCTGGCACGCGTACAAAACTATCTTCCACATTTCTCTCCATGTTCTCCATGTGCGCTGATTAATTTCGAGGATTTATCGTCCTCCATCTTGTGTGGAATCTTCAAAGCGGACAAATTGCGATCCGACGCTTCATTATACACTCGTATACAGTGTGTAGTGTAGCATACACATCAACATAAAATACTATCCTGCTTGGTTTTTAGGTTAAATCCGTTTTTCTGTTGTTTCTGTGTCAATTTCGATCGACACGCACTCGTTTTAGCATAATAATAGTCATCCGGCGTGGAAATCGATGAAAATGCGTGCGGAAAATTGAATATAGGAAATTACAGCGTATATTGTAACTTCTTGGTACATAATTGATTAATTTATGTGCGGGTTTACGAGTATCGACGCTGCAGTGTTGGTTGCCTAGCTTAAAAGCTCACTACAAGTAATTGACGTATAGTAGCGCATGGGACACACTGTATATAATAATAATAATTTAATTCTAGATAATATGTTTCTTAATGATTTGAAATGTAAATTTTTTCACCGGAGTAATAAGTTCCTGTTTATGTTGACTACCGCGGACAACTATGGCTTTATTTAGTCCACGCGCGACAAACTTAAACATTACGCGCCGTAATAAATCATAATTTGTGCACGTGCATGTCACGTGTCGTTGACAAAAAACCTGGGATGAAAATTGATATAAATTAGCGCACACGAAATTACCTTTTCAACACTCACACACGGATACAAGATGGCGGTAATTAAACGACGTCGACATGTCAGCGGATATAATGCGCCCTGGCGAAATGATAATAAATTACTTAATGTTTAATGTAATTGAGCGTATTGTAGGTTTTTTCTCTGCGTGTGTAGTTTGGGTTGCCTAACTCGGTGTTTATGATCCGCCGGCCTCACGGGGTGGTAATCATGGTCGTAGATTAATTATCGACCCGCTGGATTTCATGGGAATTACCGAAATGTCTGTTTAGGCTTAATTCGCTACGACATAACCTCACATGTTCACCCTCGCAGAAGCAATTCCTCGGATTCATCCCTTTAGTGCTGTTAAACTGTTAACGGTCAGACTGTTAACGACCCGATCTGAAGTTGAAGGGGTGCTTCTTTTGCTGAATGCAGCCGCTAGATGGCGTTGGTTGCCGGCGAGAGGTTGTACGCTAATCCACAAGGCCGTGTACTCTAATTACTGCTGTGGATCTTCTCTGATCATATATTCGGGCTCAGTGTGGAAATCCTGGCAAGTTGCTGCCAGTAAATCATTTAATGCAAGGTGACATGTTATTGTGAGCTAATGTCGCGTCGGTTTCACTCGGAATTCGAAAAAAGGAGTAAACAC